AAAAGTACTACAATACCAGGAAGGAAGATTGGGTTGTTGATGTTTGCCTGCCATCCTCGCTCTGTCTGCACAGCGTGCATGAACGCTCTGATGACATATCCTGTCTGCGCAAATTGGGTGCGCAGAGGTATGCTAATACATATGTTGACAGGCAGGTAGGAAAGCCAATTAAAATGCTCGGACCGAGCGTTTTGATTGAACAAACATTTCTTGGTCCTACGCCTTCCACAGAATATATAAATACAGATAAATACATTTAGCTTACTTAACTTAATGCTTGCTATCGGGATGTGAAGAGACTTTCAACCAGCATAACAAAAAATGTTTCTGAAGACAATCGCCTATTGCACCTTTAATTTATTAATAATTTATTTTTACAATAGCCTTTTTAAAGTTTTTTTTAATTAATTCTGTGTTGTGTATTTAAATTTTTCTGGTTATCAAATGAAGGCATAAAACATTGATTTATTTTATCTTTTAATTAATGAAAATTAAACACTTTTATTGGCTTTTTTTTTTTTGCTATTAAAATTAAAACATGGAAGAATTATTGTGTGATTATTCCTTTAAAAATTTAGTTTTAATCATTTTAGTAGTAGTAGTAGTAGTAGTAGTACGTACATTCTAATAAACACAGTAATATATTTCTGGTACAATGTCTTCAAGTTAAACAGCACTTTTATTTTGACGGTTTGCCTACCTTTAAATTTCAGTGTGTATGATATGACGATAGTGTTACTCAAATCAAACGGTAAAATGCTCATGAAGTACTCTCAGAGCAGTTCTGGAGATGTTGTTCATGGATTCCGTCCACGTTTTCTGCATCACGGAAATCATAGGGCCCTATTAAACCAATAAAACCTATACAAATTCATTGTGTAAAATAGATAATTGTGATTTATGTAGTGGTTATTCAGTTCCTTTTAAAGGTAAGGATCCATTTCTGCTTTGCCTTCCAATGTCAACCTCTCTCTCGCTCTCTCTCTCTCTCTCTCAGTTTTAATATGCTTTATTGACGACAAATAATTGTACATTTGGTTTACCAAAGCATTCGCAGTTTAACTAAGTACAACAAAAAAAACTAAACCAAAAACAGTGCAAAACATATGTAGGCTAATTGAAAAAAGTGATAAAATAAATAACATTACAGAATAAAATATATTTAGAAATAAAGGCAAAGATAAGAAAATAATAGGGAAGAGCAACACTAATAATGAGTATATGAAACACGGGAGCAAGTCTTCTTATCAGCATCTCATTTTCTCCTATTTTCACTCTTTCTCTCCTTCATACAATGCACAGGAGTCATTAATATGCTAATAGCTGCATTCTGTACTGCATTGAAAATATTGCATATTTAATCAAATGTGCTGTGACAGTCAACTTCAAATCGAATGCCTGGCTCACCTAAATTCCTCTGTATTTCACAGTGTATGTGTTTCATCAGCATATTTTCAGTGGTATTAGTATGTGTAGTGCACAGAATCAGTGTCTGTGTATTTGTATTCATGTCGTCTCTCCGTTTTCCTCTCACTCCTGTGCTCTGACTATAAGGCAGTGGTGAGTGTAGCCCTCTCCCCTCAGGACAGGGCATGTAAGGTGATGGCAGTGCTCCTCTACTTGATGTTGTATGTGACCTCAGCGGTAAGGCCTCTCTTTCAGTGTGTTCTATTCATCAGCATACTGCTGCCACAACAGCTTCTCTGCCATTAGCCGTTCAGTCACAGAGACCGTTCATTAGAGGGAGGATTTGTGTAAAGGTGAATAAGCACGATGTAGAGAATCGACATGTTCTCCCATTTATGTTTAAACATCATCAGAGAATCTCGTATGCTTCTTTCTATAACTTGTATATTTTCATATGATTCACATTCGTACAAAATTCGTT